GACTGTTGTTTGTGATTGTGAATTGTGACGATGTTTGTAATTGTTGAATGTGATAGCCGAAGATGATTGCGAATTGTTGATTGTGATTGTTGAGTTATATTTTGTGATTATTGACTGCAATGTTAATTGTGACTGCTGATTGTGATTGTGAATTGTGATTGTTGATTGTGATAGATAAAAATGATTGCATATTGTTGACTGTGATTGTTGATTGTGATAGATGAAAATGATTGCATATTGTTGACTGTGATTGTTGATTGTGATGTTGGCTGGAATTAATGATTACAGTTGTTAATTTTTATTGTAATTGTGAGTGTTGGACTGTGATTTTCATTGCGATTGTTGATAAAATCTGCTTTAATACAAATAACTTTAAAATAGTTTACAAGACAAATACATAAAAAAAAGATAATAAAACAAGTACCAGTAGAATTGGTTCGAAGACATCTGGGTTCATGTGGCAAAGACCTGACATAATATGATTCAGAACAAGCTCGTATTAACTTCGTAGTGCCGAAAGTAAGACAGACCTGTGTGCCCAATTAGTGACCCTTAAAAAAAAGTTTGTTCCTTCGTTCGTTTGTCTCCCTTTTCAACAGCCAGGGAAGAGTCTTCAAACTGATAGCACTCGCTGTCATATGGTTAACTACTTGTCTTGCTTTTTTCTCGAGTTCCTCGCTAGAAGACAAAACACAGTAAACATTGTTTTCTTTTTCTTCTTACAGATGCAGTGGGATGAAGATACGTGGGTAGACATCTCTGATTCTCCATCGCCAGTTCAAGTAGAAAACAGAATAACCCCAAGAAAAAGACCTGGTGACCATCTTCATCAGTCTGAACTCGATTTAGCTGGAAGGGAATTTGAGAACCATTGCGGTTCATCGTATGTTGAAAGCAACCACGGTGTATCATCGTATGTTGATAGTTTCCTGAACGAAGGGCTGGGTGTGCCTGGCTCGTGGAGACTACCAAGCCATTTGGAACCAGAAATATCCGAGGCTTGTTTCCAAGATGCTTCTAATCTTGAGGATCTTCACAAGCTTGCCCAAGAACTGTTAGAATCTTACCAGGAATTTCCCACTCTCGCCCACAAACAAGATACGTTTTCCGATAAGAAGGTTTATATCAAACCGGATTCAGAATCTATCGAGAGGAGTATATATTTAACACCCCCAGCTTCTAAGACATTCAACACAGATTCTTTGTCTGTGAAGAAATCCGGAGTCAGTCATACGAATAGACAGACAAATTCTGCGCGTAGTCTTGGAAGAAAAAAGACCAGAGACAAAAGTACCTCTTCTAACAGAAAGACAAAGGAGAAACAGAGCACAGTTAATGTTAATGCTTCCACAAAAGTGCCACATGCGCTATGCAAAAACAAAGCAAATGGGTTTCCAAAGAGATTGACACAGAACACCTCAGCTTCTATTAAGCCACGTAGTGTTCCAAGACCTTCGAGGACTAGTGCTGACTGTGATACATTGTCTGAAGCCCGTGAAGGCAAACACGACTTGCAAGAACGTTGTACACAACAGGTCCCTAGAAGAAGCAAAGCTCTTGGTAAGTCCATATTGCAATCGACAATACTTTGTGTTTTCTTCTGTTCTTCCTTTTTTTCCAATTATCTTATTCTTTTGTCGTTTTATTATCTTTTTAATCTGTCTTTTTAGGGTTTTTTTCAAGTATACCTTAAGGGGCTGCGTGGTCTCGAGGCATGGTGTCCACCTCGAGCGCTAGAGGTTCCTGGTTCAATCCCTGGATTTTCCCACGTAGACTTGGACTTTTAGTAATTCCCCCTGATCTCTGGGTAGTAAGATCGGACGCCCGTGTGCATTGTTGCGCATGTAAAAACAATATTTTGCCACTTGGAAATCGAAAAGAATAACCTAACGGCACTGCCCTGGCAAAATTTGAGGTTACAAATCTACCTAAAGTATTTCAGAATCCTCGCCGGTGCTACAGAGCCTGTGCACTGTGCTGAGCTTCCTCTGACTCAGACTTGAGTTGGAGGAAAAACTAACCACTTGTGGGTTGCTACCCGTGTGCCATGATGTTGATCCGTTGCTCAAAAACCTCAACTTAAAAAAAAAAAAAAGAACAATCTTCCCGAAGACACTAGTTGCATCATAGCATACCAAATATTCTTTATATTTTATAATTATTGTTTTCACCCAACTATTTTATTCTCTCATCGTTTCGCTGTGTCTTTCATTCCTCTACTCTGTTATCGACTTCTTCCTTTTCTTTTCTTTAATTTAAAACTATTTTATTTTCTGATTCTATCAATATTTTTTGTTTTTGTTTTTGTTTATCTATCTGTGGATGTGTGTGTGAGCGAGTGTATGTGTGTGGTGTTTTTGTGTGAATGTGTGCGTGTGTGTATGTGTGTGTATGTGTGTTGGTCATGGTACGTAGTACCCTTAATCTTGCAGCCATACATAGTCGTCATTTTGAGGTGACAGATTTGATTCCTTGCACGGTAACTACAGCATTCAATGTTTTTATTGACTCGTGCAGAGGTTCTCAATCTGCCTGATGCCAGGACGCTTTAATACAGTCCCTCGTGTTGTGGTGACCCCCACCCGCCCCCCCCCCCCCCCCAGCCATACAATTTTGTTTTCTTTCTACTTCATAACTTAAATCAGTATGTGTTTTCAGATGGTATTTGGTTATCCTCGTGAAAGGGTCGTTCGACCCACAAAGGGGTCGCGACTCATAGGTTGAGAACCGCTGGTCTAGTGTGTTCTATCTTTCTAATCCTTTCTATGAATGCCGACCAGTACATGCCTGTTTATTATAGCATTTGTTTCGAGACACCTTAAAAAAGGTTCCCTATCTCTTTATATCTTTTGAGGCAATGAAAGGGATCTTTATTTTTTATTCACCCCAAACACGGAAATCAAACACCTAACCCTTACATACCTATAATATTGGACTTTTGGGGGAACTCCGAGATTCTCCGTGTTTGAGGTGAACAAAAAATTAAAGAACTGATGAAAGTATAGTAGAAAGTCAAGGAACTCTGGCGCATCTTTCATATTTTTCATATTATATTTGTATTGACCAGTAGGCAAATCCGCCGTGGCTCCGAAATACGTGGGTTTAAGTCCTGACGGAGACATTTTTGTTGTTGTTTGAAAACAGGCCTTAGCTTCCAGGTCGATCCAGCCTTAAACGGGTACCAGGTGAAGTTCTGGGAAGTAAATGCGGCCGGTGTGATGTTGACACGCATGAAACCGTTGAAGAGCCTCCTTTACTTTTGAAAGTAATCGTATATATATTTTTTTATTATATATATATTTTTTTGACAAATAGGCGTACCGTAGGTGATTTTGTCAATATTACACCGACCGCTTGTACTCTTCTTAGGGCATTAATTATCCTGGTATACAGAAGTGAATCATGGACAGTTAGTAGATTAGTGACAAATTATTTGGAAGCTGCGGAGATGTGGTTTTATAGACGGATGGGGAGTGAACCCTGGACAGATGAAAAGAGTAATGAAGACGTCTTGAAAGAAACTGACTCACGAAGAGAACTGATTGCCCATATCAGAAAGAGACCATTTACAATCTTTGGTCATGTCATGAGAAGGAGAAAAGTACTTCAGTACTGTGAGAGAGAAGATGATGGACGGTTTGACATCACGGCATGGAGAATCACCTGTGTCAGAACTGATTGAAAGTACACGAGACAGAAGGTTGTGGATAGACATAACTACCAACGACACACGGTATGGAATTTCAGAATAAGAAGAAGGACATTACTGGAATCCTTCAGGCTGGGTAGACCTGTTAGTCAAAGTCAGTTTTAAAGGAACAAAAACATTGGACAGGGATTTGAACCCAACGCCTTCTAGCTGGCAGGCAAGTGTCTAGCAACATCACTACCGCGAAAGATGCAATAATTGTCAATCAGCAAGTTCTTTACAGTAAGTACGTCGCTCAAGTCAAGGCACGCCTGTAGGTATCTCTTTCTATAGCTAGTCTTCCAGCCCTATGTACTTTTTTAGACAATACATCTTCCGTGTTTTGTATCCACCTTCTTCCTCTTTTTTCCGGAATTGCACCCTCCATCATGTTGTTTCCATCGCGCTTATGTCTTTTGGTGACAGATAGTGTTAAATTCAACAGTGTCTATGCTAACGTTTTTATACCCCGAAGCAGCAATCTTTTAGGCTCTTAAAGCTAAAAGAGGGAGGAAAACCAGGTTTGGGAAAGAGTGGGTTTTACAGCGATTGAAAATTAGTGGGTTCACAAAGCGGTTCTCAACCTGTAAGTCGTGACTTATTTAGGGGTCAAACGACCCTTTCACAGGGGTCGGCTAAAACCATCGAAAAACATATATTTACTGGTTATGTAGCAGCAACAAAAATAATGTTATGTTTGGGGGGTCACAACATAACGAGAAACTGTATTAAATGGTCACGGCTTTAGGTAGGTTGAGAACCACAAGTGAGGTAGGAAACGTTAGAAAAAATGTGTAGGATATGTAGTGTAACCAATAAATGTGTAATGAGTTCGTTTGCACTGAAAGAGTTTACCTTGTCCAAGTACCTCAACTTTAGGAACAGGATTTTGTTTGTGCGCAGACTCGCCTGGATGTTCAGATCACTTAGGATGTCAGTTAGTTTAGAGGCAATAATCCTTCTCCTATATTCTCCAGGTAGGTACTCAATTCTGAACAACAACAGCAACAACAACAGCAACAACTTCTACTACTACCAGCACAGCACAAGCAGAAACCCTTACAACGAGCTGTACGACGAAGAAGAGGAAAACCGAGCCAAGGCCATCGTCTGTGTGCTGTTCTGTCTGATGGGTGTGGGCTTGATTATAGGGCTGGTCTGCCTGCTGTCTCACTTCGTGGAGGAGACTGAGATGGGACAGATGGCCATCAGCAAAGACGATGAGAGTAAGACAGTTTAATAGTTACGCGTTGTCATCATCCTTCTCTTCCTTCTCCTCCTCATCGTCTTTTCCTCCTCCTCTCTTCATCATCCTTCTCCTCGGCCTCATCATCCTCCTCGTCATCATCCTCCACCTTCTCCTCATCATCATCCTCATCTTCCTCATCATCATTCTCATTTGCCTCCTCCTCCTCATTATCCTCCTTCTTTTCCTTCTCATCATCATCCTCCTCCTGATTGTCGTCATTAATCATCCTTCTTCTCTTAATCAGCATCCTCTTTACCATTCTTCTCATCATCCTCCTCATTCTCATCATCATCCTTCTCATCAATCTCCTTTTCATCATCCTCCTCCTCATCCTCATCATCATCATTATGATCCTCCTCCCCCTCATCATCATTATCCGTTGGACTTGTTCACGTTTCCAGGTTCAGAATTACGGTAACTTCCCTCACCCTTCATGTCTCCTTAGGTCACTGGACCTCTCCTTTGTTGCGTGGGGTATTATGATATGGCTTGGTTTGGCGTTCGCTCGGCTTATGTAATGTTTGTGTGAGGTTGTGTTGTTGTTTTGTTGTTTGTCTGTCTTAGGCACCGCAGGCGCCTGTGTAAATGTAAGAAGTACTGCAGTTGGGAAGCGCTGCAGGCGTGACAATTCTTGGCTATCGAAACTGTGATGTTTTTGTATTTCTACGTTCGTTGGCGGTAGTTCCCCCCCCCCCCCCTCTCGAGAAAAAAGAAACCAGTTACAAGGAACGTGGGGAAAAAAAATATCACTGTTTCCATACTACTGAACGGTCGCGCAGGTAGCAGAACGTGAAAATAATCACGCACGCGAGCGTTGAGAGGACGAGAAAAGAGGCAACGGTTACACTGTTCACAATAAGGAAAAGACGACTTCTGTTGCAACAGAAAGGTCCAGGCAAACAAGTTACTCTAATGCTGGGCTTGGAAACGCGAACAGCACCTTATCCGGCTGTTGAGAAGTCACATTTGGCTAGCAGGCTAATAATCTTCCATTCCCTTTTATCCGGTATCCGGTGCACCACAATCTGAATTGGGGGGGGGGGGGGGAATAAATAAGGTTCCTGAGACCCTACCCATCCCCAAAAAGTTGTAAAGGGAACTAATGGTTTCTCACCATTTTCTAAAGTTTTTAATTAAACATTTCTATCATTTCAAATATATTTTATTTATTTGCCATTCAGCTCATAATATTATTATTGCTCACTTGAACCAGGCTCAGGCCCACTGGGCTACTCACTCCTTAAAATATAATAATGGGGGCTAAGTGATCCATGCCCTGTCCTGTGCCATCACTTCTATATCACGGTTGAACAACTAACAGATCGTACCGAGTCTCTGGAAATATGATAAACTATTGAATAATGTTTGAACAACTAACAGATCGGACCGAGTCTCTGGAAATATGATAAACTATTGAATAATGTTTGAACAACTAACAGATCGTACCGAGTCTCTGGAAATATGATAAACTATTGAATAATGTTTGAACAACTAACAGATCGTACCGAGTCTCTGGAAATATGATAAACTATTGAATAATGTTTGAACAACTAACAGATCGTACCGAGTCTCTGGAAATATGATAAACTATTGAATAATGTTTGAACAACTAACAGATCGTACCGAGTCTCTGGAAATATGATAAACTATTGAATAATGTTTGAACAACTAACAGATCGTACCGAGTCTCTGGAAATATGATAAACTGAATAATAGGTCGTTTTTCATGGAAACAAACACCAGCAAATACAAAAGGTTCTGGACAGATTACGAATAAAAAGAGAATTAGTGACAGAAATAAAAAGATACGCAATTGAAATATTTTAGCCACATTAAAAGACATAATAAGCTTTAAAAAAAATCGAACAGGAGGGAAATGTTGAGGGCATGAGGTCAAGACATATTTAACGTTACAAATGGAAAGGACAGCATCAAGAGATAACAATAAACGGCAGTCTGATATAGTGTGTTGTTCCTCCATCACGAGGGATGAGAAGCACTTTCATCCAAAGTAGTAACGATCAATGATTATAAGTACGAAGGTGGTTGGTTAGTCAATATGAGCCTAGAAAGTTCTTGAGCAGTGCGGACAACTAATGGAAGCCGCAGTTAGTGTGGGATTAGAAGTACCAGTGTACAACAAAGACAAGAGACAGGGCGTGTTGGAGATCCATTGCAGCCAGCCTTAGTTGTGGAGACGGCACCTGATTAAGGGACTGATGGTTGTTGGCTCCCAAGTCTACCCAGCCTTGAGTGGGTACGGGGTGCAGTCCTGGGGGAAAAGGCCTGCGGGATGCTGACCACGTCACCCATCTTGTGCTGATTGGTCTAGCCCTATATGCCCAAACGCCTAAACGCGTGGAAACGGGTCCTTTACTTTTTACAGTTGATATTCAGCCATTTTTTCTACACATTTCATTTTCTAGACATCCCGGATGTAATGATTGACGTGTACTATCGTCGTGTGGCTGACGTCATCAGGTTGGCATCCCAAACTAGTTCAGGTGACGGTACTGCTAACATGTCTTCCACGCCGGCCAGCCAGCCTCTCAAGTTGTGCCAGCTGGTCCCAAGTAATCTGCGTGAGTAACTCGTTAAACGTGCTGTAACAAACGTCTTTTATTCACTTAGCTAACAGTTTACATATTCTTCTCGACTTGGACTACATGCTACCACTCACACTAATGACCACACAACAAAATTGGGTACACGTAACGTCAATGTTCGCACTACCCGCCCATATACACACTAGCTCACTTCTGATTGGTAGTTCCGGAACCTGTCACCTTGGCACTAGGTTACGTGGGTGTTCCGTAATGACGTTGATATTGCGTGTTGTATATTTCGGCACGCCAGCGCATTTAACACTTCAAACACATGGAGAAACTGGCCCGAACACAACTCACCCTTAGAGTGCTGCAACCTATGTCACAGGCATTCTCTTTCTATGAACAAAAAAGTAAATGCAAGACGAGACAGAAAGCAAACAACAGAGCAGGACACACCCGTAACCTTTAGGAAAGTCCACCAGCCCAACAAACTTGTGAATGAAAAGTGAACTACTTTATTTACGAAGATTAACGTTACTTTAATCCAGAAGTGATTACAAATAGTTAAAAGAAAGATAACACATTAGTAGTATCAAAATGTCCTCCGAATTGATGCATAGAACTTCATATGCATTTTTCACATCATCATTATCATCAAGTGCCGTGCCAGCTGGCATATGCTATCATGCGTCGCCACAGATCGCGGTCTTTGGTGTTCTGGATCCATTCTACTGATGATATTCCCCATGGTACTGTCTTAAGCCATCCACCATCATTTCTCTTGGTCCGCCTCTGCCTTTTCTACCAGTGATCTTTCCAGTCATCACGATATTTTCCAGTGCTCCTTTTTTATTACATGACCAAAGAACTTTGTTTGTCTCCTTCTATTTGTTGTATATAATGTTCTACTTTAATTCGCCATTTCCAGGCATTCACTGTTGGTTATTCTGGCAGTCCATGGTATTCTCAAAATTCTCCTCAATAACAAAATCTCAGTTGCCTCCAAACTCTTCCTAATTTGTTTGCTCACAATCCAAGATTCACTAACATACAAAAGAACTGTCTCGAATTTAACATTATGTGCAATAATTATACGTAAATAGATAGTATTTGTTATGTGTTTTATGTTAATTTTTACAATACACTTAAGTAAAAACAGTGTTCAAAAACAAAAATTTGATCAACGACCAGCTGCAGTTGGCACCTGTTTATCGGAACCGACAAGTGGCCGTGGTGTAGCGGCTAGACTCTCGCCTACGGGTCTGAAGGTGGTGGGTTCGGGTCCTGACAGAGCCGGGCTCTCTTCAAAAATGACCTTGACTCCCAGGTCAACCCAGCAGTCCTGGGAAGTAAAGGCGGCCGGCGTGATGTTGACCACATCACCCACTAAGTTCCGACTGTCTAGATCTATGTGCCCCATACGCATGGAAATGTGGGAAAAGGGACCGTTACTTATTACTAAACTGTCGTTAAGTCAATTACTCCATATTGTTATTTTGGCACCGTAGTGACACAATTCCGACATGTCAGGTTAGCTTAAGCTGCAGCCTATTTGACAGTATGCGGGATTATATTTTTTTAAACAATGGTAGGAACGCTTTAAAAAAAAGTAAAAACTAAACGACACTTTTCCACGCCTTTAGGTGTATAGGGCATATAGGGCTAGACCTATATTTTTATAAACCAATCGGCACAAGATGAGTGATGTGGTCAGCATCACGCCGGCCGCCTTTACTTTCCCGGGACTGCACCGGTACCCACTCAAGGCTGGATCGACCTGGGAGCCAAGGTAATTTTGGAAAAAAGTCTGGCTCCGCCAGGGAGCGAACCCACGACCTTCCGATCCGCGACGAGCGTCCGAACGCCTTTACAAGATCTGAATATCAGGGAGAACTGACTTATCAACAGCACCCTGTCCCAAAAGCTGATATATTCTTGTCATGTTTAACGTGATAGGAGAGCGGTGATGGTTCCGTTTTCGGAAGAACGAAGAATAGGCAGATACGTGGATACAAGACAACGAAGGTGCACTGGTTACTAAAGCACATAGGACTGAAAAATGGCCTGGAGAAAAAGATATATTTAGGCGTTCCGAGAGGAGAGCGACGTTCTGTAAAGTGCTTGCTGATTGATAATGATGGTAAACCTCGATACGCCACAGCTTCATTGCCGCCACTTGGGGACTGATTAAAGGGTCTATCACATTGATTCTATACTAATGCTTCTTCAATTAGGGGAAAATGTATGACACATCAATGTCTCTTAAATGGATATCAGTATAAATCGCACATTTACCGGGATTGCAAAATACCTTATAAATATTTCAATGCTGATATCGATCAAAAATGCCACAATGCCTTGGGCTTTGAACAAGCATTGTTTTGGTTGATAATTGGCCATGGCGTTGACATACTTAGCCATGAAATCTGGATGCTCTAGTTCCAAACTTTCAAGAATACGATTTGATTTGTCGGAAATTCAAAATGACTAGAGGAGATGCTGGAGTGGCGGGGAAAAAACCCGAAACGAAGTAAAACAGCTGAAACATTGAATGGAAGGAAATAGGATCAAGTCTTCTTCTTCTTCTTTAATTTTTGGTGTGTGTGTGTGTGTGTGTGTGTGTATGTGTGGGTGGTTGGGTATGTGTGGGTGTGTGGCTGTGAGTGTGTGGATGTGGGTAGGGGTGGGTTTGTGTGGGTGGGTGTGTGTGTGAGTGTGTGGGTGTGTGGGTGGGTGGGTGTGTGTGCGCGTGTGTATGTGTGTGTGTATGTGTGTGTGTGTGTGGGTGTGTGGGTGGGTTTGTGGCTGTGAGTGTGTGGGTGTGTGTTTGTGGGTGTGTGGTTGGGTGTGTGTGCGCGTGTGTATGTGTGTGTGTGTGTGTGGGTGGGTTTGTGGCTGTGAGTGTGTGGGTGTGGGTGGGGTGTGTGTGTGGGTGGGTGTGCGTGTGAGTGGGTGTGTATGTGTGTGTGTGTGACCGGCTGCTTATGCTGTAAAGCCTGGCAGAGAGGATTCAGATGTAGTTTCCTCTCTTTTGCTAGTTGCGTACCTTGTGGTAATGTCATATTGCGTTTCTCTAATGTCTCAGTTACTCCACCCATGTTTTTCTTGGTCGGCCTCTTGCATTGTCTTAGCTGCTGTCTGACTTTTGTTGCATAATGCCCAGATGATCAAACCATTTGATTCTTTGATGTTCTAAAAAAAATCATTTACCAATGTTGTGCCTAGCATAATTCTTAGTTCTTCGATAGAGACTCTGTCCCTTCTAGTTTATCCGGCCGTATTTTGTAGGCATCTCAAGTCACATATTGTCGTTTTACATTTACTTTTTGCTAGGATTGTCCATATCTGATGTTGATAGTCTAACGCTGACGCAAATTGCACATTTATTAACTACATTTTTAAGAGAGTAACTAGGATGAACAAAGCTGGAAACCCGTGAAATGACGGTCACATCAGCCACCCAGTTGCGATTGGGCTATAAACATGTAAAGCTGGCATCTCATGTTCGAGGCGTCAGTGATGTAATAAGGGCCCTTTACTGTGTAAAGTAACAACATGCGAAAGATGAGAGGAAGTAAGAAGAGGCAGAACAGCAACATAGGAAACGTTGGTTAGTTGCGTATCTTTAACAGGACGTTGCAGAACCAACCCCAATAGCCTCTTGCTATTTTGTGGCTTTTCCAGGCAAATTTACGTCCAGTAGTTTGATATTGCTCTCTGGACGGTCGACTTTCTTGATACAACTTTCGAAACCAACGCAAGGCGCATGGCCCACTGCTGGGATCGAACCCGGCATACCGGCATTACGAAGCGTTCGCATCGACTTAGCCACAGAGTCGACACATAGGAAACGATAGGGCGTAAAAAGCATGTGTTTTGTTAGATGCCCATATCGTTAGATTGTGTACTGGAATTGATATGTGCAATGTTACATTTGGTGTTGCCTACAATGTTACATTAAGTGTTACCCCCGTGCTACATTCAGGGACCATACAGGGCTACATTCAGTTAAACTACAATACTACCTTCAGTGATTCAACAGTGTTATATTCGGTGATACTACAGTGCTACATTCAAAGTTATATTCAGCGATAAAATCGTGCTACATTTTGTGATACTACAGTGCTACATTAAGTGATGCTCCAGTGCTTCGTTCAATGATACTACATTGCTACATTCACTATTGCTACAGTGCTTCATTCATTGATGCTACAGTCATACATTCAGTGATGCTACAGTAGTACATTAAGTGATACTACAGGGCTACATACAGTAATACTACAGTGCTTCTTCAGTAATATTACAGTGATACATGCAGGTATACTACTGTACTACATTTATTGATACTTCAGTGCTACATTCAGTGATACTACAGTGTTACATTTATTGATATTATAAGGCTAAAGTAAGTGACACTGCAATGTTATATTTAGTGATACTACAGTTCAACATTCAGTGATACTGCAGTGTCACTTTTAGTATTGTCTTCAGTGTTACATTCAGTGATACTATAGTGTTACTTTTAGTATTGTCTTCAGTGTTACATTCAGTGATACTATAGTGTTACTTTTAGTATTGTCTTCAGTGTTACAGTCAGTGATACTACAGTGCTTCATTTAATGATATTACTGTGTTACTGTAAGTGATACTACAGTGTTACCTTCAATGATTCTATAGAGTATCACATTTAGTGATACGACTGTGTTACTTTCAGTGTTGTCTACAGTGTTACTGTTAATGAAACTACAATGTTATATTCAATGATACGACACTACTACATTCTGTGATGCTAGGGTGTTTCATTTAATGATACCCCATTGTTACATTTAATGATACTACAGTGTTACATTCAAACATACTACATTTCTGCATTTAGTCTTGTGTACAGTGCTATATTCAATTTTACTGTAATTTGGCAATCAGTGTTATTATGTTCAGTGCTGCTTTCAGTTATACACAGTGCTAAATATGTTAATACTCATATACAATGTTACTGTAATTTTGCAGTCAGTTTTATTATGCATAGCTATACA